CTCCAGCGCCGTTCAGCCCTAGTCGAGGACCTTGCTGGGAGTAGGCACGGGGGCGGCATGTCTCCCGGGATCCGAGCAGCCTTGGGACCCCGTTTGGATTTCACTGAAGGAGGAGAGCGCAGACCCTACCCGGGGATCGGCGTGTCAATCGGCGCCGTCCCTCCCCTTCTTGGGGTCTCCCCCACCCCCAGGGCTCCTTGGAAGGCTGCCGTTGGGTCCCTCCCACCACGTTCCTTGGGGAGTTCGCTTTTTCCCTGGCAGGGCCTGGGGCGGGGTGCCCCAGCCCAGAGGTTAGGAAGAAGGGCCTTGGCCGGCGCACTCCGGGCAGTGAGGAATCGGGCCATGACAGCCGCAGCAGTTGTGAAGGTCTCAGCAGGGAGGGCGATCCCAGGACCACCCCCTTAAGCCCCGCATTGCTAGTTAGAGCAGAACTCTGGCTGGTGCAGTGAAGGGCCTGGTCCTGGGAGATATTAAAGAGGAAGCTGTGTTTAAATTCTGGAGTACCATTTACTGCCACCCCCCGCCCCCGCCACCTCCATAGCCCAACACTGTCTCAAGATTGCGGGTTGTGGCCACCCCTGGCCCTTTCACCTTCCCCGACTTTTCCTCTGCCTGGAAAGGGTGAGCACCCATTCTTTCCCAGACGTGTATTCCCCATGCCCTTGTTAAAGTAGCCGTCTCCTTCACCAGGGAGAGTTACTTGCTAGGAATGCAGCCTCAGAATGGGGCCCTGCATTTGCAGTGACTGGACTTTAGGGGCACAGGGTGGTGAGTTCTGCTGTTCATAGGGGCACTGGGGAGCAGAGGGTTTGAAATCTGGGTTGCCCTGGAAAGCCCAGGATAAATGATGGTGTGCAGGGAGGTGGCATTCCCTGTGCAGCTTCCTTGACCTTCTGCCTGCTCTCCCAGGGGGACCAAGCCCTGCCGGCTGCAGTCTCTGGGCAGCTGTCCAGCCTGTCCCCCCAATCTTTGCAATGTCCCTGATCTAGGGCAGGGGGAGTATTGCAGCTCTGCTGCCCTGGTCTAAACCCAGAGAGGCAGAGACCCTCTTCCCCAGCCAGCCCCTCTGCATTCATCCACCACTGGAGCGAAGTCACTGAAAAATAAAATTTTGGAGCTCTTTGTATATGCCAGTATTGTTCTGAACACTTGGCCTTGTCTAATCTTTAGAGCAACCCTATAAGGTGGAGTTCTTCCCATTTCATAGATGGAAATAATGAGGTATAGAGAGGCAAAGTAATTCTCCCGAGGTCACACATCTAGTAAACAGTGGAGCCAGGTTCTGAACCAGTCCCACTGCCCTCCCCCACGAATTCTAGGTTGGTAGAAGTCCCTGGACACCAGGTTTCATCTCAGATGCCCATGTAAAATGAGAGAGAGAGTGCTGCTTTCTTGGCCCAGAACCCTGGGCTTAAGATTCCTTGATACTTTTGACCTTCACACCCCTGAGGCTGCTAAATTCAGCTGCTTTTTCCTCTTCAGGATCTAGCACACACCCTTCCTCTTTCTTCCTGGTATCTTCCTGGCTGCCTCTTCCACTTCCCTTCCTGATAACCACAGAAACGCTATCTCCTCCTGTCCCTGCCCCTCGGACGGAACTGATCTCCCTGAAAGTCTTCTCTGTCCACTGTGGAGTCAGCCTCCAATGCCCTGCACCGTCTCACCTTCCCAGCAGCCAAGCATGCAGATGGACCTGTCTTGCTCCTTCCTTTGCCCATTGGACAGCTGGTCTGCAGGGTTGGTTGTGTGCCCAGCTCTGTGCCAAGCAGCCTGGAGAAGAGGACATTTGGCTGCTCCCCTTGGTTTCTTCCACGCCACACTGGTCCATCTCTGTTTCCTCAGTGGAGCTGGCCCATGTATTTAGATCAGCCTCTGCCCTGTCCTTTGGCCCACATTCCCATCCCCTTCCCAGTAAGACTGCACCCAGGAGCCTCCTAGTTGTTCTCAGTCAAGGAAGGAAGAGACTATGGCTCCCTTGCCAGGTGCCTGGCATTCTTCCAGGGTTGGGCTCTGCAAACATCAGACACCAGAGCCTCAGGCCCCTAACCCCTGAACCCTTTACTTTTTTTTTTTTTTTGCCTCTCAATGCTTTAGTCACTTCTGTCCCTCTGTCTCCCCAACATGCTCAACTCTCTCCTATTCTAGACACCACATCCTCTCCTTCCCGTGCTAGCCAAACAGCTCCAAGGAGAAGGAAGTGGCTTCTTCCTCCCTCAGCTCCCTCCCCACTCTTTGAGCCCTCCCAAGTTTGCCATCTGCCCTTCTCCCTCCACAGGCTCAGGCTTTCTGCCTGTCTGGGCTTCCAGTCCTCCACGTCTGTGGCATGATGCACTGGGCACTGACCAACCTCTCCTTCCCACTTACACTTCAGTCACTTCTGAAAACTCTATACTTGCCTGGAGCTCCTGTCCCTCTCTCATCTTCTTTCTGCAGCTTTCCACCCCCGGTGAGCCCTATTATCACATGGCTGTCTCCTCTTGCTCAAGCTTTGATGATTGCCTCCTCACCTGTGGCATCGGTGGCCCTGTTTAGCTCTGAGTCTGTGTCCAGCCCTGACCTCTCTTCCAGGCTTCATTTCAAGCTTGTGTGTGTTCATTTCAGAACGTTCACCCCACAAGCCATCCCAGAGTGCTTAGTGTGGGTGCAGCTGCAGGCTGGGTGCAGTGGGGCTGCAAACATGAATGTGTGTGAGCTGTGGGACCCATCGTGGGTCAGGGGAGGTGGACACCCTTCAAATAGCTATCTTCACTTCTTGGCAGGAAGTGGCCACTGCAATGAGGGATGGGGAGAGTAGTTGACAGCCCAGAAAGCTCCACTAGGAAGTCCTTCGGTTACCCCCACCTCAGTCTTAAAACCCCATGTTACCTCTCCGAGCTGACTTCGCTTCTTCTGTAAATGACATTACTGTCTGAGTCTGGGATTGTAGCATGATCACCTTAAATGCCCTCAAGGTTGCTTTGCACACAGTAGGTGCTCAATAAAGACTTGTGCAGGGACTATCCGAGCTCTGTTCATTTGTTCAGTTCATGAGGGAACTATCCCTGACTGAAGCTTTCCATCCCTGACCAATGCTCCCCACCCCCCTCCATTCCCGATACCACCTGGTGCCTGGCCCGCACCTGCAGCCTCCAACAGCCTGCTCAGACTAAGGGTTTTTGAAGTGTTTATCTCCCTTCTGACCGGGAGCTTTGAGGCCTCATCTCTTCTGATCCAAAAGAACCCCTGGCAGATGCCTGGCACCCAGTAGGCATTATTAAATGAAGACTGAATGAATCTTTGTATCTCAACACCCATACGGTGCCTGCCACATGCTAGGCACAGAGCGCAGGCTAGTCGAATACATGAATGAGAACTTGCTGTATATAGACTTCACTTATCACTGGCCACAGTCAGGGCCCTTTTGAGTCCCTCCTTAGTGAAATGTTAATATTCAGAGCATTCACTGCTCTGCTGACAGACCTTAGGCAGAGGAGCCTGAAGCCTAAGGGTTAAGAATGTGGTTAAGTGCAATTAGAAAATTAGATGTCTTGGAGGAAAAGGATTAGACTTACGGAGACGCTGCTGATTCGCGGTGCCTCCTCTGTGTGGGGCTAGGACCTGGCTTGTCCTCACGCTGCCAGGCTCAGCGCCGAAGGGCTCAGGTGTGGGGTCTCAGGCACAGCTGAAATGCTCCTTTCCCACTTCGGAGCCTCCGTATTCGGAAACAGATATCCCCAAAAGGCAGCAGGCCCCATTTCATCCTGCGAGCCCTGGGGTCTTTGGGGGACAGTGCAGTTGGAGCTGCTGCCCTGGGTAACCAGCGACCGGTGGGGCGTAGACCCTTCCAGATGACTGGCTCTGCCCGAAGTGCAGTCGTGCTGGTCCGTGATCTTCAAGCTCATCTCCCCTTGTTCTCTCCGCAGGCTGCCCGGTGCCCCGAGGAGGCTGCTGAGCCCCAGGCCATGGTCCCCTCTCGCAGGACGTGGAACCTGGGAGCCACGCCCTCGCTGCGGGGCCTGTGGAGAGTGGGCCGGGCCCCGGAGCCCGAGCCGGGGATGGCTCGCCCCGCCCCAGCCCCAGCCAGCCCGGCCGCCCGCCCTTTCCCACACACCGGCCCGGGGAGGTTGAGAACTGGTGAGTCCGCATTTTTAAAATGCCTCTTTATTTCCCTTCCTTCCTCCAGATACCAGAGATGAGACTGAGGTTTCTCACCGGTTCCTAAGCCCAGTCAGAGCTGTCAGGTAATTACAGGGTAACCGACAGCCCAGAGCCGGGCGGGCGTGGAGCCGGAGCGTCAGTCTCGCCGGGTGCTCCTTCCCTGTGCCCCTGTCTGGAAAGGGGAGACCTGGAAGCAGGGTTAAACTTTAACACGGGGCGGGCACAGAGCAGGGGGATCAGCTGCGTTCCCTCTGGCCAAGCTGGTCAGAGCTCTGCGGGCTGCCGTCCTTGGCCAAAAGCGTGTGGGCTCACTCCGGTCTCTGCCCAGGCTGGTAAACAAGGTAGGTGAAGTGGCTGCCCGGGCACCAAGCGCCGCTGACACTTGATCCTGCCTGGGCTGGCCCCTGGACGGCGTTGGGAGTGGACTGAGGCTGCTCCGGAACGTGGCCTGGTGGGGCTTGGGGGCCATGTGCTCATTTCAGGTGTTTCTGTAGAGACCCTGACAGCAGGTGGGCAGGGGTCCCAGAGTCTTGGCCCCTAGTGTCTCCCCGGGGAGCTGTCAGTGCCAGCTCGCCTTTCTGGGTCATGTCCCCCGGTGCTGCGAAAGTCAAGAAGTGAGCGGCTTCTCTGATTCAGGGCGGGGACTGGATTGACGGGGCTGGGGAGCTGCCCATGACCCTCTCCCGAGGCGTGGGCAGGTTGCCCTGGTAGTGTGGGGGAGAGAGGGCTCTCCAGGCAAGGTGCCTTCAGGGGCCTGCTCCCTGTCCCCCGTGACTTACAGGAACAGGGTCTAGACTGCCAGCCTGTGAGGGCTAGCAGAGTCCCTCTGGGCCATCAGGTCCAAGCCCCTTGGTGCACAGAAGGGGAAACTGAGGCCCAGAGAGGGCACACAGCAAACTCCTGTTCAGCCCTCTCTCCCACCACATTTGTGCTGTCAGTGGCAGCTGGACTGATGCCTGCTGAGGTCTCTCTGCTTCTATGGTTGTCTGGGGCTGGCTGCTCCCAAGCAGCACAGCCAGGCTGAGGATGACCCAGGGCCCTCGGGAAAAGCCTGGGCTTTTGGGCCAGGTAGCCCAGTTGTCTGAAAGGGGCAGAGGATGGCCTCTACCCCATAAGGTTGTCGTAAGGATTACAAATGTAATATGAATGAGTATTGCTTTTCTGGTAAAAACAAAAACATTTTGCCTTCGAATACTTAAAACACATAGAAAAATATCAAAAAGGAAATAAAAATCACAAGCTAGTCACTGAACATTTTATGTAGTGCCTTCTAGTCATGTGTGTGTGTGTGTGTGTGTGTGTGTGCGCGCGCATATAGGTATTTGAAATATTGTGTTATCTCAGCTTTCTAACCTGAAGGAAAAAATTGGGTATTATGAAGATTATATGGCCATACAGACTTTTATCCACTTAAAAAATTTAAGACAAAGGTCAGATGAAATCCTGTGTGTGAAATGCAAGCACCGTGCCTGCCACTGGACCTCAGCCAGCTCAGCTGCCCCAGGCCCCTCTGAGCCCCCCAACCAACCCCCATATTGCCACCCTGAGAGTCGGCTGGCAGAGGATTGGTTAGCACATGAGATTTGAATCCTGGCTCCTGTGACCCTGGGCACACTGTTAACCCTTCAGGGCTTCCGGTTCTTTGCCTGTCAGGTTGGGAGAATGCCCCCCACCTCCCTGGGGAGTTGTGAGGAGCTGATGGCAGCTGTAGTCCTATTGGCCTGTACTGTGGGCCCTTTCTGTGTGCCTGGCACTACATGGGCACCACGTGTATCTCATCCATTTGATCCTCACCACAGGGCTGTGAAGTTGTCCCCATTTTATTGACAAGCAAACTGAGGATCAAGAAGGTGTGTAAAGGCTGGGCGCTGTGGCTCACGCCTGTAATCCCAGCACTTTGGGAAGCCAAGGCGGGCAGATCACTTGAGGTTAGGAGTTCGAGACCAGCCTGGCCAACATGGTGAAACTCCATATCTACTAAAAGTACAAAAATTAGTTGGGTTGGTGGTGCATGCCTGTAGTCCCAGCTACTCGGGAGGCTGAGGTGTAAGAATCGCTTGAACCTGGGAGGCAGAGGTTGCAGTGAGCCAAGATCGCATCGCTGCACTCCAGCCTGGGCAACAGAGAGAGACCCTGTCTCAAAAAAAAAAAAAAAAAAAAAGAAAAGAAATGTGTGTAAGGCTTGAAAAGCACTTGGCCCAGTGGCTGGCACTTGGGATATTGTTATGCCCCAGGGTAGTGGCTCTGCAGTGTGCCTCATGACTCGTGAGGCTGGCCCCCATCCCACCCTGTTCAGCCCTGCAGGTGGAGGTGGGTGGCTGGGGCATCGTTGCCGCAGCCCGCCCTCTCTCCCATGGGTGAGGGAGGCAGTGTGTCAGAGGCACAAGGGGATACACGTTAGCTGGTTCTGAATACACTTGGGGAAGCAATGGAGGCTGGGCCACCTGGTGTGGATTTGGTCTTAATGAAGTCAGGGAAGAAATTGCCACCTAGAGGCAGCCGGGGTAATAAAGCCTAAAGCCATAGCCCCTGTGCAAGTCCTCAAAGCTTCGTGCAGGCTGGCTGGCATCGGCTTCCTTCCGTTGCCCTGCTGAGCAGGTGCCTGCCACAAAAGCCACCGTGAGGATAGGGGAGCCTCCAGTGGGGTATTGGGCCCCCTCCAGAAGAGAATCTTGGGGCGGCTTTTGGTAAGAAAGGAGTGTAGCCCCTACCCCGAGCCAGGCCTTCCCCTCTGTGCAGGGCAGGCATGTAAGGGTGTGTGAGCCCCTCCTGGCCTCATCTGGACCAGCCAGGGGTGTGTGAAAGCTGAGGTCAGCTGTGGCCCTGGCCAGTGGTCCATGGCTAGCAGTCTTCGGCCAGCGGTCGGAGTGTCTCACCTATCTCTCTGTCCTGGGACAGGGCGTGGAAAAGATACCCCAGTCTGCGGTGACGAGGACTCCAGTGCCCGAAGTGCAGCTCGCCCAGCCCTAGCTCAGTGCCGAGCCCTTAGCGTGGACTGGGCTGGCCCCGGAAGCCCCCACGGGCTCTACCTGACCCTGCAGGTAAGCACTGGGGCCTTCCAGGCTGCATGTGCCTTGGCTCTCTGAGCTCCAGTGGCTGGGTTCCTGCCAGGTTCCTGGGGGTAGGAAGCACCAGGGGAGAGCCAAGGACCCGCCTCGCACCTCTCTGCTAGGCCCCTGGTGACCCCTCTGCCTGTGAGCCTGCTTCATTAAGTCAGACAGGGGAAATCTCACAGGAGCTGACAGGAACTTTTCAGCCATGCCCTGGCTGAGGTGTTAAAGTGGGAAGCATGGGGTCTTAGCTGAGATGGGCAGAGCTTGGAGAAGGTATTGGGAAAACAGGCAGGTTTGGGGTAGTTGGTTATTCTCAAACATGGTTATGTGAGTATTTCCTTGTATTTCCTTGGGAATGTTTCCTTGTTTGAAGTGAGAATTCAAAGCTAGATGGGGGATTCACTAAAACTTGGGGTCTTCTCCCTTGTAGTTATCACCAAGTGACTTTAAAAAGACAAAGTAAGGCTGGGTGCAGTGGCTCAGGCCTGTAATCTCACCACTTTGGGAGGCTGAGGTAGGAAGATCGCTTGAGCCCACGAGTTCATGACCAGCCTGGACAGTATAGTGAGACCCCATCTCTATAAAAAGAAAAATAAAAAATTACCTGGGCATGGTGGTTCCTATAGACCCAGCTACTCAGGAGGCTGGAGTGGGAGGATCGCTTGAGCCCAGGAGGTTGAGGCTGCAGTGAGCTGTGATTGCATCACTGCACTCCAGCCTGGGTGACGGAGTGGGACCTTGTCTCAAAAAAAAACAAACTTTACATATATAGGTATATTTGGCTATAGAAATAATACATAATGATAGTAGTAATAAGAGCTACTATTTATCAAACACGGACTTTGTACCAGGCATTAAAGATCTCATATCAGTCCTCATGATATTCATAACAGTCTCAGGATACAGTATTTGATCTGAGCTTTATAGATGAGGATGTGGAGGCTTAGAGAGGTTAAGTTGCTGGCTGCTGGTCACATATTTGACCATTCAACACAACTAGCCTTGTAACAGGGCAGAGATACAATTACCCAGAAACTGCCTCTCATAGTCCTCTATCTTTGAGAAATCCACTATTGAGTATTTGGGGTTTATTTATTTATCTTTCCTATATCGAACCACTTAATTATATTTATATGATTTTTATTTTTGAGATGGAGTCTCATTCACTCTGTTGCCCAGGCTAGAGTGCAGTGGCGTGATCTTGACTGCAACATCCACTTCCCAGGTTCAAGTGATTCTCCTACCTCAGCCTCCTGAGTAGCTGGGATTACAGGTGTGCACCACCACACCTGGCTAATTTTTGTATTTTTAGTAGAGATAAGGTTTCACCATTTCACCATGTTGGTCAGGCTGGTCTTGAACCCTTTTTTATTTTTTTTTTTGAGACGGAGTCTCGCTCTGGAGTGCAATGGCGTGATCTCAGCTCACTGCAACCTCCGCCTCTCGGATTCAAGTGATTCTCCTGTCTCAGCCTTGCGAGTAGCTGGAATTACAGGCGTGCGCCACCATGCCCAGCTAATGTTTGTATTTTTAGTAGAGACAGGGTTTCATCATGTTGGCCAGACTGGTCATGAACTCCTAACCTCAAGTGATCTGCCCACCTCAGCTTCCCAAAGTGCTGGGATTATAGGTGTGAGCCACCCAGCCATATTTATATGATTTTTTTTTTTTTTTTTGAGACAGAGTCTCACTCTATTGCCCAGGTTGGAGTGCAGTAGCATGATCTCAGCCCACTGCAACCTTCACCTCTCAGGTTCAAGTGATTCTCATGCCTCAGCCTCCTGAGTAGCTGGGACTACAGGCATGCGCCACTACACCTGGCTAATTTTTGTATTTTTAGTAGAGATGGGGTTTCACCATGTTGGCCAGGCTGGTCTCGAACTCCTGACCTCAAGTGATCTGCCCACCTGGGCCTCCCAAAGTTCTGGGATTACAGGCATGACCCACAGTGCCCAGTGCATATTTATATGATTTTTATTATTTATTTTACATGTTATTCTGTGACTAGCTCTTTCCCTCAAGTAACTCCTCGTAATCTCTTCATGCTCATCAACACATAGAGAACTACCTATTTTTTTTTTTTTTTTTTTTTTGAGCAAGATCTGGTTCTATTGCCCAGGCTGAAATGCAGTGGTACAACCTCACTGCAACCTCCAGACATGTCATCTCACCTCAGCCTCCTGAGTAGCTGGGACTATAGGCATGTGCCACCGCGCCCGGCTAATTTTTGTAATTTTTGTAGAGATGGAGGTTTCATCATGTTGCCCAGGCTGGTCCTGAACTTGTGGGCTCTACCTTGGCTTCCCAAAGTGCTGGGATTACAGGTGTGAGCCATCACGCCCAGCCCTACCTCTTTCTTTTACACTGCTGCATAATAGTCTACTCCAGGACTTACCATAAGTTATTTATAACAGATCCTCTGTATTGTTTCTGATTGCAGTGAGCTCCTTAAACAAATATCTGTGCTGTGTTCATGCAGCAATAGCTTTGAGTATTTTCAGGGCAGTACAAGCTCTGCCCATTTTTAATTAATGCATTCATTCAACAGATTATTTAGAATGTGCCAGTCTGTGCTAGGGTCAGAGGTGCAGTGCAGAAAGAGACAAGAGAGTCTAGCAGAGGCACCAGAGAGTGACCAAATAATCATGAAGGGATGAAGGCAAACCAGGCAGGGGCCAAGAAGGCAGTGGCAGAGGATCGACGCCAGAGTCATCACCCCCCAAGAAAACCATTGCACTAGAGGGCCCACCACTCCCCCACGTTCTCCTGACCATCCACACACACTGATTCTGCCCTTTCTGGAAGCTACATTTTCACAGAGTCTTGAAGGAACGTGTACAAATGGTGGGCAGGATGGAGTGTGGAAAACACATACCATTCAAAGGGACATATCCTCCCTGCTGCAAACGGATGTCCTGGCCCAGGTAGCTTGTTTTCCCAGCCCCTGATCTGAACATGGATGCAGGGGTTGATGTTGCTTCAGGGACAGTCTTGTGTTTCGAGGTGTTTCTTGTCTCTTCTCATGTGATTCATCTGAAAACTGAACCAAAAGTTTCTTCTTTTATCTGTTCAAATCTGCTAGAAAGCAGGTCTGGTGAGAGAACAGTTAAAGAAACCGGAGGACCCGCTCTTTGCTCTGTCTTGAGCCATCCATAGTTAAATTGGAAGGCGGCAGTCAGAAACCCACAGCCTCGAGTTGGGTGGTGGCTCTGTTCTTGAGCTTTGATTATGGGGTGCTGAGTTGTGGTTGCTGAGTCCTGGGGTCAGCAGATCTGCTGAAGATCTCTGGGATGCTGGCACCAGCAACTAGCTTCCACGTTCACATCCTGGTGGGCCCCCACAAAGCTCCATTATGCGGTAGGTGCTTCAGGATTGAAGATGTGGGGCCAGGGTGGGTCCCAAGCACAGTGCGGCGACCTGGTGGCCTTAGTGACACCCCTCCCTAGGCTCTGTCCAGCAGTTAAAACCTGAGATGCACCCCACAGAGGCGCTGCAGAAATTCCCAACCCTCCAGGGCCCCGTCTGTCCTTCCTGTGGCTTGGCCAACAGGCCAGAAATAGTGTAACCTTTGCCCTGGCTGGCAAATGGAAACTTCCAGCTGCTGTCCTTGCCGCCATGGATCACAAGCCTGCTAGCGATGGTGTGGCAGTTGGTCACAGGGTGGGGACAAAATTAAGTCGGAGGGAATTTTCTATTTTCTTTTTGAGACACAGTCTTGAGCTGTCACCCAGGCTAGATTGCAGTGGTGCAATCTCAGCTCACTGCAACCTCCACCTCCTGGGTTCAGCGATTCTCCTGCCTCAGCTTCCCGAGTATCTGCGATTACAGGTGCCTGCCACCACGCCTGGCTAATGTTTTTTTCTGTTTTTAGTAGAGACAGGGTTTCGCCATGCTGGCCATGCTAGTCTCCAACTCCTGACTTCAGGTGATCCACCCACCTCAGCCTCTCAAAGTGCTGGGATTACAGGTGTGAGCCACTGCGCCCAGCACGAATATTCCTAAATATAAGAGGTGTGTCCCCCACCCGCCCTTCTCAAGTGGAGCTCGGGATCGAGAGAAGGAGGGGGTGAATTTTGGGCTAAGGAGCCTGCTGATGTCACTTTTCTTGTCTTTTCAATTATCTGTATTGGCTTTTTGAATGTCAAAGTAAAAAGATGTGAAGATTACAGGAATCATGTCCTGATAATACTTACTTCATATCAAGCCCTTACTATGTGCCAGGCTCCTTCTGAGGACTTGGCTGCAATTGTCTGTTACTCTTCACACAAGCTCAATGAGGCAGTCCTGTTATTACCATTTTTATTTTAAGAATGAGGAGAACGCAGCTTCAAGAAGGTAAGTAACTTGCCCAACGTCACCCAGCTTAGCCGAGGAAGTGCCAGTCTTCACACACAGGCCTTGCCGCGTCTAGACTACGCGTTTATTTTTTAGAGTGAGCACTTTTAAAAGAGTAACTTATTTTTTTGTTTTGAATTTAAAGGTCACAAAGACACACAGAAATTGTCTGCTGCCTCTCTTCCAAGATAACCTCTGTTGATATGGGAAAAAAAAAAAAGCTGGGTGTGGTGGCTCATGCTTGTAGTCCTAACACGTTGGGAGGCTGAGGCAGGAGGATCGCTTGAGCCCAACAGTTTGAGACCAGCCTGGGAAACATGGCAAAACCCTATCTCTACACAAAAAATACAAAAATCAGCTAGTCATGGTGGTGTGTACCTGTAGTCCCAGCTACTCGGGAGGCTGAGGTAGGGGGATTGCTTGAGCCCAGGAAGTCAAGGTTGCAGTGAGCTGTGATTGTGCTATTGCACTCCAGCCGGAGCCACAGAGTGAGACTCTGTCTTAAAAAAAAAAAAGAAAGAATGAAAAAAAGAAAGAAAAAAAATGGCCAGGCGCAGTGGCTCATTCCTGTAATCCCAGCACTTCAAGAGGTCGAAGCGGGTGGATCACTTGAAGTCAGGAGTTTGAGACCAGCATGGCCAACATGGTGAAAC